GTGGTGGAGGGCGGGCTGCTCTGCTCTGCTCTGCTCTGCTCTGCTCTGCTCTGCTCTCCTCTCCTCTCCTCTCCTCTCCTCTCCTCTCCCTCCCCGCCTCACCTCGTCCCGGCGGGAGCGGGGCGTCTCCGCCGTCGGGCCGGGCGCGACCCCCGCCGAGGAGGGCGCTGATAGCTCCGGTCGGCCTCAGCCCCCCACCTCATAGCCCAGCCCCGCCGCCTTCTCGGGAGCTTCTCGTTTTCGCGGGGTGGCAGGTGCTTCTCGGCGGGGCCCACAGCCAGCGCTTCGCTGGACTCACGTACATACACATGTATACCTGTGTTTGGGGGCTTTTTTACTGTTAAAAATATCTTTAACATACGCTCGTGTTTCAAGAATAAGAGGCTGAAAATGCGGGTTTTGTGCACCTGCAGGACTCTGATACCCACAAATCGCATCAAAACCAGGTGCTGGGTCTATTTTTAACAGCTATTTAAACAACTTTTGGAGACGTGTTGCAGTGTGTGGCTAGAGGGATGTGTTAGTGTGCTGAGGTGGTGTTTCCTAAACTCAGCAGAAATGAAGCCCCAACAGTGGCACAGGGCCTTCAGGACTGTGCCTGGAGGAGGGGGCAACACTAGAGCAAAGCCACCCCATTTCAAAGCTCATTAAACGCTGGGGTGCTGGGGACACATATGCCAGTTGAAATGGGGTGATGCAGCACAAAGGATGGGCTTTATCACCTGACCCCAAAAGAATGTGCTGCAGTACCTGACCAAGCAGGTAGTATGTTCTCTTGTGTCTGGTCACCAGAATTGATTTGCCCACTGGAAACTGGTAAATTGAGGGGGGGACACAGGGAAATCCCATCTTTCAGGCAAAGAATCAGAGTAAACATCATCCTACAGTCTTGTTGATCAGCCCAAACTAGTCATACAAGCTTGCTTCCAGCCTTCATCTCTTCTGTATCTGCATCTTCCCAAGTATGTTCTGTCTTTGGAAAGACCCACACAAACAGAATAATTTTGAGCTCATTGATGGGAGAGGTGGGACTCCCAAAGTCTACACAAGGAGGAAAACATGACTGAGATTTTTAGGCCTTGGGGAATGATCCCTTGATTCCGGGTGGTCTGATGTCTATCTACACAGGGTTGGCCCCCTCTGCAGTAGACTCTTGCAGTTCATTTCACCCTGGTTTTCCTATGAGATCTTGTGTGGAAAATGTAAGACAAATTTGCTAATTATGGGATTGTGTTAAGTAATTACCTAAACAACATCCAGTCCCTTGAAGCTGATTTGCCATGGAAGACTTGAACCCTAATAAAGTCATGCCCTAAACTCCAGTAAAGTCTGTGAGGAACACAGGGAAGCTTACTGCAAGATCAAGGCCAACAGTTCAAGACAGGACAAATTCAGAAGAGACAGTTGTAGTTTCTGTTTGTCTCCTGGTGTCTGGTTACCAATTAATGAAAATAATCCAATGGAAGCAGAGTTGAAAATGCTCTCACAGCTAAAAAAATATATTTTAAATTTATTAAAGTCCAAATCAAAACTGATACAAGCAAATTCAAACTAATGTCTCTTCTAGAACAAGGGAAAAGAAACATAGGTTAGAACAGGCAACCTTAACTTAACTCACTACACAACCTCTTATTTTATAGTCTCTATCACTGAATAGAGCCTGAGTCTGACACTCACTGACACAAACACATGTAACTTGCATGGATTCCAATCCCGAGTTGCAGGTAGTAGGACTGTGTGTGCAATGTTACATGTCTCATTGAATGACCAAGAGGCAGTAGTCCTTGTTAGAGGAGGATTTAGTCTCTCTGATCCATTCCTTTCCAGACTTGACTACCATGGTGCACTGTACTGGAGCCTGACCAAGGAAGCCCAAGGATGCTGTCATTGGTACAGGTGCTGTGGCCCAGCTACGGAGCACAACCATGTGTTCAGTGCTAGGCTGATGGCTGCTAGCGACCAGTGAAGCAGCAGAAACTTAGATCCCACTGGGAATCAGTGGTCAAAACCCAGTAATCAGAAACCCAACCTGTCTGCCTGACTCTGTACCAGCACCTTGGGACACTGTGTCCTTGTGCCTCCCTTCCTCTACCAGTGAAGCAGAAGTGGTGATAATGGTAGTTACTTTGTTTGCAAAGCACATTTGTAATCTGCTGCTGTCACCAGTTTGAGTTTTGCACAGGCTAGAAAGTTGCTTCTTTCTTCATGCTTCAGAGTGGCGACTACAATTGCAGCCACGCAAAGATTTATTAATAAGCGGTTTCCAGCTGTGGAACCAATTCCTGCCAGATTATCAGGCTCAGCCCAAGTATTTTAACCTTTCAAGTATGTTGTTACTGACATGTATAATAATTAATCCAGTATAAAAGGAACCAATTTTCCAAACTAAGCACAGTTAATAAGCTTTGTTGTCAGTAATTGGGCCTGAAAGTGTCTGATGAAGTTGAAGAATGTGTTGCATAGGCAACTGTACAGTTGGATTATACAGTTGCTAGTTCAGGCCAACAGGATTCTTGCTACTAATAATGCTAAACTGTAGTGGGGTTTAGTGCTTTAAATAGGCAGCAAAATCAACATTTGAGTGTGGGTTCTTTTTAATATGAGAGAATTTGTACACTGCTAGAGCAATACAAAGGACAACTGTGCTGGTGAAAAGTCACCCTCCTCTCTCTGGCACATTCTAGAGTGACTGTGACACACGCTGCTGAAACCAATGGAAGCGATGCACTCATTTTTCTCTAAGGACATGGGCCTAAACTGGAAAACTTCATCTAAGAACACCTTCAGTGTTTATGCCATTAAAAAAAGCTTTCAATGTCCTATTAACTCTTGTATATCTTTATTCCAGGTTTTATGTTTCTCCAGGAAGAGTCTGATTTGCAAAAGATCAATATTTGCAGCTTGGCCAGTCAGGAAGACCAGATGTGGCACTGGCCACCTAAGCTGCAAGAGCACATTCAAGCATTTTAAGAAATTATTATCTATCAGTGGCAGGCTCTCTTGACTGTCCTCAGTATGAGTGCATTCTAAATAGCATTTAAATATAGTGAAATATTTAAATGAGCCCCTGTCTTGGACAAAGTAAGTAATCATCCATGTTGCAGTTTACATTTGAACACATCCAGCCTAATCACACTGAAGGTACTAATTTTCCTTGACCTTCCAAGCTCATCTTATTCAGCAGAAGCATAGGCTTGCCCATATTGTTAAAATTATGCCATGTTTACTGTTTGCTCTTTGCTGTTATTTCAGGTTTTAATCCAATGCCAGTTACTAGGATTAGTCTTGGTAACCCTTGTAGTCATGTTTTGCCTCCTTAAGAGCTGACCTTAAGACAAGTCACCTGTTCAGCATCAAGTACTCACAAAAAATAAATCTTACTTAAATCAGCAGGAACACATGCTTTTCCTAGTGCAGTGCCACTATTAGTGAAATCACCCATCTGCTTTATGGCTGCATTTCTGAGGCATGGCCAATCACCAAAGGAGGTAACGTGTACAAATACCTCACTTTACAACTGGTTGGACATGGCACCTCTGGCATGTAATACATTTCTTAGGGTGTGATCTTCATCTCATAGTCTGTCTCTTTCTGGAATTTTAGTGAGCTGGTTTAAATGTAGATCTGGTTGATACAAGATAGAACATATAGAATACCTTGTGGCTTCTACAGTCATCAAGAGATGCTGCAATAATCAAAAAAATCAGGTTGAGGAATACAGGGGTATACAGCCTCATACAGATCAAGGATTTACTAGTATAGTCTAAACATAATACATAAAGTATTATATATTTCCTTATTTCCTGGATTTGTTTTTATATAAAAAAACTTTTAGCAAGGAGTGACCTATAAAGCGTGTGTCTACAATAGCTGACGTATAAGAAAGACTGAGGTGTGTGGAGGAATTGGGGGTGGTTTAGGGCTGATATCTGCAACAAAATCAGACTGGCTATAGTAGGGGCAAAATCAGATCCATAAGCAGCAAATGAGACTTGTTTTCACTTG